GAAAACAAACATCTCGATCATGGATTATAAAAAATTCTATTATGGGTTACTAAAAAACCTAAAAAATTCGATCATGGATTAACAAAAAAACAAAAACAATTCGATCATGGATTACATACAAAGAAACACAAAAAAAAAAAAAAAAAAAAAAAAATCCGTACAGACTCGCCGATTCACCGTTCGGACTCGCCGATTCCGTACAGTGAATTGGCGAGTTACTGTGCGGAATCGTCCGGTTCTCTCTAGAACCGGACGATTCCCGATTTTTCAACCGATCCGGTCCCTTTTTGCGAATTTCGAGTCGAACCGGGCGAGTCCGGTTCGACTTGGCGTTTTTTAAAACGCTGCTCTAAACAATTAAAATAAAGCGCATCTTTAAATAATGTCGAAAGGTGTAAAGCACCTAATTTAAGAAAGTAAATTATTGCACAATGTTAAATTCTCTACTAACCATACATAAGGAGTATGTCATGATGTAGGTAAACATTTTGTACATTTTTTCAAGACGAACTGTGGGCTAGATACCATTTGTTTTTTATTTTATGTTTTATTTTAGGCAACCTCTAAATACTGTTCGATGCGATCTAAGCATTTAAGATGCATGGGTTATGGTGCAACCGGCCAGATCCTCGTCCCTATAGGGTCAACATCCCTTGCCTGCCTTTTCCCGTTTAGATCGGGTTGAGGAGAGCTGGCCCAAGCCCGACGATTATCCAGACTTGGCTGTACTGGCCCGAGACCCGATCCGGTCTAGCCCTCAGGCCATGGTGGTTAGGCCCTGGCCCGACCTCCGGCTATATTTAAGGCGGGACCGCTTGAAGAAGTAGGTCTCTAAAAATGATGTCATTTTGGGAATTTCATTGGTTCAGTAGCCACACGAGTAGCCACTAGTAGCATACGCCATTCATAAATGGAGGGGGTTTAGGTGCGTCAACTTATTTTTTTTTTAAAGGACTCGGTTTCTATGCGGCCAAGCCCACATATATAGAAATGTGGGCCTCTTAATGCGGCCAAGCCCACATATATAGAAATGTGGGCCTCTTAATAAATATATTTTTGAGATGGATTTTAAGACTTAATTTTTAGATCATGAATATGAAAAAATAAATAAATTTTAAAAATTAGATAGAACACATTTGAGCTGTTAGTTTCCATTGTTTTCAAATAAAACACCTACTTGCATCCATATTTAAGATGGATGCTTTACACTTTCTAGACCGTATATGTAGAAATGCAATCCAGCTCGCTTGAAACAATTTTTCTTTTTTAAATGTTTCATTATTTGAACTCGTTTCTTTATAAATTCACATTACAAAATGTAAATAAAGTTCCCCGTTATCGAAATTTATTGAGTACCAAAATAATCAGGGTAAAACCCTAATTTGTTAGAGCATCAGCGTTGCTTTCTCTCCACTTTCTAGTCTCCTAGAAGCTTGTGAGACCCATTGGACCAAACTATTACATTACTCAAGTCTCCTTGAATACCTATGCCCTTCTAAAAGTTTTTTATGAGCTTCATACCTCGGGGCAAGGCTTTTGTTAAGTACGCGGCTAGTATGCGGCCAAGCCTGTACATGTAGAAATGTGGGCTTGGCAATCAATATATTTGTAAAATATATTTTGATCCTAATTTTTAGTGAATAAATAATTTTTTAACGTGACGATCATGAATATGAAAAAAAAAAAATGACAACTAAAAATAATAATTATATTAAAAAAACATTTAGACCACTAACTATAATTGATTTTAGATGGACCACCTATTTGCATCCATTTTTATGATGGATACTTCATACCTCAAGACTGTCTATTCTAGAAATGCAGCCCAGCCCGCATGAAACAATTGTTTGTTTACAAAATGGGAACTCCTCCAAAAATTTAATTGGATGTGGATTTTGGATCTAAAATTTGACATGTCGATAATCTCTAGCAGTTCATAAAATAAAAATGATAAGCTGAGCTCTAAAGGTGAACTATTTTGAAGCTTGTTTCTGACTACTAATCACCGTTCATTTTAAGTCTACTTAATTATTCCCAAGCAATCATACTTGCACTATTTTGATGTTCTACAATACTTCTTATATGCAAAGGCATGGGCCTAAAGTGCAAAACATACTAAAAATGACACATCATCGCTTTTTGCTTTTTGGTTTTTCTCCGCGAAAGAAAAGACAAAGGTTCAAAAAAGGAGTTTGAGAAAGTTGATTTAACCGATAGCAAGTAGAGAATTAACACATATATCCTTGTTTGAATAGTATGAAAATATTTTCACACAATAAATTCTATGGTGTGGACAAGTAATATTTTTACATGTCCATTGCTGAATAGATGTGCTAAGATTATGGGTGGAAATAGACCCGATTTAGATCAGGAATTCGGACCCTACTTATATCCGATTACGGATCCAAATTTGGATGTAAAATCGTGATCCATACCAAAAGTCCGGCTCAAATTGAAATTTAGATTAGAGCGAGGTGCAAGTGGATCCGATCCTGATCTGGATTCAATCTGATTGTTTTAAATAAAATATTTTTATTTTATAAATAATTTTTTATATAGTAACCCAGATCCAGATTCAATGTATACTATTTGGATCCATACTCGAATCCGATGTATATTACTCGTATCTAAATTCAAATCCACCCAGATTGGGACCCGACCCGTTCTCATCCCTAACTAAAACAAATTGCTATGAAAACATTTCCACGCTTGACCGCCTAAGGTCGTGAAAATGTTTTCTCACGAACCAAACGTGCTTCTAAGTAAAAAAGAAAATAAATCCCGGAGTTTTAAGGGAAGAAAAGAGGGAAGAGAGAAAAAGAGGGGGTGTCACCGTCACTTACATGTCCATGGTCTCCAAGGTTGACCACAAAGGCACCATCAATAGGTTCAACGGTGATCCAAGTCTCCCCACCATCCTTGGTCGCCTGCAACCCCCCCACCTGGTCCTGCAGCAACAGCGTTATGGTCCCGGGGTCCGTGTGCCTCTTCAGACCGAGCGTCATGTCAGGCTGAGGGCACTTGGGGTAAAAGTTTACAACCACCTTCTGATCCATATCCACACAAGCCTTCGCCAAAGCCTCAGTTTCGAGCCCCAAGCTCTCTGACAAGACCCCCAAAAGCCTGCAAGCCAAACCCATGAGCTCCTCACTGTACTTCTCCACCACCTCTTTCCACCCCTCAGGCTTATCAGGCCACCTACTGTAGTCTCTCGACCTCACCGGGTACGAGAAGTAGGTGACGATCTCTCTCCAATCTTGAACAGCCTCTCCCTGGAGATGACTGCTCACTATGAATCCTCCCCGCTTGCCGCCCGACATGTCGAAGCGGAGCTTATCTTCAGGCGGGAGAGCGAAGAACTCCTTGGAGAGCTGGATCATTTGGGCAATCAGGGAGGCGTCAACACCGTGATCGACCACCTGGAAGATGCCCCAGTCCTCGCACGCCGCGGCGACCGCCTCACGGACGGTAGGGCGGCGGTCCGACTCGATCCCAGCGAGGGATATGATTGGGATATCGTGGCTGAATTGGTTGTATGCGACCTTGGGGCGTTCGTCCTCCGGACGGACGAAGGTCGGGCGGAGCGTCTTCTCGTCGGACATTGTTGGGAGGAAGGGTTGAGATGTGGGCGCCATTCTGCTTCTCACTTGTCTACTGATTTTCCCTCGGTGTGATTCTAGTGTGGGTTTTATTCGAGAGGCCCATCTACCCTTCCCTAACCTCGGTAGGATATGAATAGGTGGGGTTATTTTTTTGGGTTTCGTTTTGGAAGGAGAGGGTAAGTATGACTTGTGGTTTTGGTGAGGCCTCGTGCGTCACCTAACTCCTCCACGTTCCACCATCTCTTTTTCTCTCGGTGACATGCCCATTCCTTTTCGGCTAATTAGTTAACTTGCGTATCGCCTCCTAAATGGAAAATATCCTAGCAGTAATGGCAAGGGGCCGGACCACCGGCTCTACCCTAAAAAGTAGTGTACGGCTTTCGGGTTCTTTTTTTTCCTTTTTAAAAAAAAAAAGAAAAAAAAAATTTATTTTTGGGATATTATCTTTTGAACCTCATGTTTTTAGGACTTTAGTACGTGGGTACGGTTTGTATAGAGCTGCACCTCTAAACAATCAAATTAGAACCCACCTTTAAATGATCTCGAAAAAAATAGTTTGAATATTGAAAATATTTATGATTGCCTAGTAATGATCTTATAGGACCCATCTATATTGGACTATAAAGAATCATCATTAAATTTGGTATGGATCTTTAAATAAATTATCACATGAGTGGGGCATTTGACTTTTTTAAAAATCTGTGTCAAATTTAATGATGATCTTTTGGGATCCTACATACATAGGTGGAAAAAAGTCTTATAGGATCATTTCTCTAAAATATATTATTAACTTTAATTATAGAATTTAAAATTTCAAAAATAGTATAGATTGAAGATATCTATCAAAACTTGAAAACCATGAAAATTGACGGTTCAAAAATACGTTACAAGATGTAGCATTTCCAAAATTTGAAATCAATTTTGTTTCTCATGTCCATGCATCTTGATGTCGAGATGATCAATTTGAGGATATTTGAGCATCAAAACAACCTCTTCTAGTGAAATTTTTGAGTTGGGATCTAATTTGATTGGTTAAAGCCAAGCTCTCTATAAACTTTTCCCTTAGGACATATGCATGAAGATTCATGTCACGATCTCATCTAAATACGGCATCCGCATGCTCGACTTTATGCAAAAATAATAAATTGAGGACCAAATGCGAAAAGATTTGCTAATTCACAGTTTTGTGATTGCCCATTCCTTCGTAGTTTTGTTTGCATGATGGAGCTTTCTACACTTTCTGCAATTTTCTGTCCTTTAACGTCGGGTAAATTGACTTCCTCATTCCCAGCATTGAATGTACCTCCTTTTTTTCTCTCGGTTTTTTTTTTTTTGTTAAAATCTATCTATGGATACATATTTGTTCATTTTTTTCATTTTTTTTAATTTTTGGGTTGATGGAGAAAGGCAACTATCCGAGATAAGCATGAAATTTAAAATGTCACGTTGTGGTACTAACTATTTTAACTAACTATGCCTTGAGTCCATTATGTTCAGTTGTTCTTGAGATTGAACCTATCTTTCCCACAATACACGAAGATATAATTTTTTTTGGTTTTCTTACTTGTGTCAACCATGAAAGAGAGAGATACAGAGTGAGAAAGAGATTGTCTACTACAATGCCCATGACATTCCCATTATCTCCTGTGTTTCACTTGCTCCCAACCTCGCTCTTTAACCATTCGATCGCTACAATACGCTCTTATATTTATTGTTTGCCCTTTACACGTTTGGGAACATCATGTCCAGATCACTTTATTTTATAATATATATAGGTTGGTACAATTTTACTATTTTATACAAAATTATTAGTGAATTTATTTTTCGTATTTAAATATTTTACGGATGTAATCTTTTACTTCCATACACAGATAGCAAGAATGCAAGAAAGTGTCTCACTTGCAAGGCGAAGTTAGCATGAATAAAGAGTCACATATAGTAATTTGTTTATGTTTTGATTTTCAGTATTTGGAGAGCAGACTGCTTTAAAAAATGAGGGCATAGTAATTTGTTTCTATTTTGATTTTCAGTACTTGGAGAGGAGCATAGACAAAGGTGAGCTGAGGTTGAAGTGTACGGTTTATGTGGCTTTTAAAGGCCTTATAAGAGTTTGTATGAGCATTTTATATAGTGAAACATAAACTCAGTGAAGTGCAGTCATCTTGTGGATCACACTAGATAAATGCGATTTGTCGATACTCGGAGTAGGCTCGACGTGCTAGACCAGCCGAGTTTGAAAAAACCCAAGATACCTGGGCATAGGGATCTACCGGAAAATATTTAGTGAGTTAACCCTTAATGAGGTTGGAGTATGCCCAGATGAGAGCGAGACTGTGTGACCCTTACGAATGATGAATAGCCTTTAGAGACAGGGTTAAAACCCCATCGTTATATCATCACACGGCATGTACATAGATAGCTGTTTTGATATTCGCCAATGAGGGTGAAGCATGTACATGTGCGAGAGATTACCCCTATGCACTATAGAGTCATGGTTGCATCATGATCTAAAGGATCATGAGTTTTTTGTCTCTAAGGGAGAACCTAAAATCCATAAACTAGGATTGCGTCCTCCAATTTATTGACTGATTTTAGTGGTCCAAACATGAGCCCCTGCAATTGACTGTGGGCCATAGGAACTACTGGGTCAATTTGAGAAAGCTCGATAGATCGTGGTCCGCAATTGAAGGTAGAGTGCTCTCATATATTGACAAATTCTTAAATCTAAAAGATCCTATTCCCATCAAAATTAATTAGTTTTAATTGATTTTATAATATATGATTTTTTCTAGAATGTTTATTTGAATTTTTGTGAATCTTTTGATATTTTATTTTTGTCATTTGGATTTATAAATTAAGATAAATTAATTTTTCAATATTTTAAATAAAATATAAGATTTTAAAATTCTAAATACAAAATAAAATATTTTTTAAAATTATATGGGACCTCCATAAGAGCCAAATTTAGAATATATGGGATTGTATGGGGCCATGGGGTGTACCACCCTTAGTGGGGCCATGTGTGGCCCTACTAAGGGTGGCACACTCCACCCATAGGGACTAACTTGTTCTTCAAAAATGGTTGATAATTATCCATTTGTTTGTTGGTTTATCTTTTGGGTATAGCAATAAGGTTGAATATTTGAAATATTTAACGATCATTTGAATCAAGATTGCTTAATTAAAAAATAAATGTTTAATGTACTAAAATAGAAAATAAGATATATAATTTATTTATTTAAATATTTGATGAGAAAGATCTAAGAAATAAAAGATAAGGCTCTAGCGCATCTCATTGAATATTGATGATGGATTAAAGAGATGGATGACTCAAGTATCTCACTCCACAAGTTTCTTTAGATCGACAGTTAAAATTTAACCATATGAATTGAGGCAAACCCCAACGTATGGAAATCTATAAATAAAAAGGCTCTCTCACCTAACAAAATCTCTACGCCTATTTCTTTTATCTCTCTAAGGGTTTATCTACCTCTCAAAGATCGCTCTATACGTGGCACACCCCACCTAGGGCTTCAACATCTCTCCCAAGTTTTTCTCAACATCTCTCCCAAGATTTTCTCACAGGTCACACCTCGATCAAAATCTCTCTCAAACCAAAAGGGGACACCCGATCAAAATCTCTCTCAAGTCAAAAGGGCACGCTCAAGATTTTTGGGCAGCAAAGGGAAAGATCCCCTTGCTAGTAGATCTCTCCCTCTTTCTTTGATCTATCTCTCATCTCTTCAAAGAAGATAAAGCCAAAGGAGCTTGAGCAAAACTAAGGCATTGAGTCCTTAGGTAGTTGCTTTTAGATCGAAATCCATATGCCATTGAGAAGATTTTGCCATATGTAAGATAATAAAAAAACTGATCATAGATCTTGGGCACCATCGGAAGGAAGAGACTCGGTGTGGAGTGTACTAAGTCCGGTTGAGGTAATCTCTAGCACTCTCTTTTTATTTCTTGTAATATTTAATTATATTGTCTTTATATTCCCAAGCATAAAAATTGTGGATATTTTCTTTCTTTAAATAAAATTGGTTTAATAGCTTCAAGGTTTTTAAGATTTTGGATTTGTTAGTTTTATTTTCTTTTAAGCAAGAGTTATTATAATAAGATTACTTGTAAGTGATCTTTGCCAAAAGAAAAGAAAAAGAAAAAAAAAAGGGTGAAAAGAAGAAAAATAGAAAAATATCTCCCCCGACAAGATCACATTAATCTTTCTTTCATGAAGAACTGGAAGCTAATTTCTTCTGTGAGTATTGGCATCGGAGTGGATTCAAAGCTCAGTGGTTGGCTACGGAGTCATATTTCATGATGTGCCTAGTAGTCCTAACCCAATCGGGAGCCACAATGGGGGGGGGTAGCCTGCCCTCTATTTCAATGGGCCGCAAGCTCTATGATGTGCTTAGTGGTAATAACCTAAACGGAAACTACCATGGTAGGGGTAGCCTACCCTCATTTCCGGTGAGCCGTACGCTCCATGATGTGCCCAACGGCCCTAACCCAATGGGGAACCCCATTGGTGGGGGCAGCTTGACCTCTGCCCCGAATGGCCATATGCTCCATGATTTGCCCCAACGGCCCTAACCCAATTGGGAATCACAGCTCTATATAAACTTTTTCCTTTAAATTATACGATAGTCTAGTTATCTCTTGTATGAGGAGGTCACAATCAATCTTGTCCCTTAAATTTCAAAATGGGTGGTTGAAATAATCTCATTGATTGGACACAAAGTTCAAAAAATAAAAAAATTCTCGATCTTTATGACTCATCCCAAACCATCCTATTTGACATCTAATGAATGAGAATGATTGTGACTTCATATATAAAAAACAATTTCCTCTTCTCGACAATCCCTTAAATTATTATAATTTAAGGAAACCTAATAATACTTTCAAATTTGAAAATATTAAGTACTTCTACTGAGAATGTACTTCAAAGTAAAAAAAATCTGAAGTACTTTAATCGGGCAAATACTTCAAAAAAAATTTAAGTTTGACAAAGAAAACTTTCAGAATTTTAATTTGTAAAGCATTTTTTAACTGAAATACTTAATTTTTTCAAATCCCAAAGTATTCTAATGGTTCCTTGTAGGCTTCACCAAAATCCAAAGGAAAAACTGCATC